AAATAAAAAAACTGAAGATTGGATATAACGCGGATAACACTTCCATATCTCGTGTTTAATCTGGACGTTAAGAACAATTGGTCATAATGTGCATACAGAAAATGATAAACAGTTTGCTGATCAGCTGAATTATCAAGTTTTACCATTTAGATAACGATGTATTGTTAGATACCGCTCTTCATTTATAGTTATAAATATGATTTATAGTTATTATCGACATAATAAATCTCAATGGGTTATACATATAAAATGTATATTGTAATAACCGGATATTGGTTATTACCCAAGGTATTTAATACGTGATTATCTGATTTAATAATTATGTGATAGCATGATATTTTGATATGTGCTAGTATGTGCAGAACGTGATTTGTGTGCATATAGAAGATATATATATATATATATATATATATATATGGATTAGGTTGTGCATACGTGGAGAAGTATGCATGCATTATGTGCAAAGTGTGTGCTTAGGTGTGCATGAATGTGTTGTTATGAATGAGTTTGGTTATGCATGAGGTGGAAGTGTTTTAACCGACTTTCCTCTTTTGGCATAGTATAAATAGGAACTTAGTTCTTCATTTGTTATTTTTTTGGCTATTTGGAGTTAGTAGAGTGTTCTAAAAGAGAAAGAGAGTCATCCGGTTTATTGCGTTGAGTTTTCATCCAAGTTGATTTCAAGTATTCAGTTTCAAAAAGGGGATCGATTTCTAGCATTTTGGTTTCAAAAGCTTTATAAGATGAGTGGTTTCTAAACCTTTTTGTATTAAAATTCTATTGGTTTCAATTACATGCTTCATATTGTTCTTATTTGAAGAGAAAGCATGTTTATTTTTTTTGTTTTAAGTGTTATCCGGACAAAGCTTGACCRGATAAGGGTTTAAACCGGACAAACCTTGTACGGTTTATTGTCCGGATAGTTTTAAATCGGACAAGCCTTAAGCGGCTTAGTGACCGGATTAGTATAAACCGGACAAGCTGTGAGCGGTTTGTTGTCCGGAGTTGGTTAAACTGGTTAAGTGTTAAGAGGTTTAGTCTTAAACCGGACGAGTCTTGGACGGACTATTGACCGGATTTGATATCCGATCAAAATGTGAAATTGTTTTAAGTGTGGTGTGTTGACCGGATTAGATATCCKGACAAAATGGWCTTTTGTTCCAAGTGTTTAATACGGATGAGGCTTGATCGGATTATTGACCGGACTTGTTATCCGGATGATTGTTGACCGGATTTGATTGACCGGACTTGTTGATCGAATTTGAAATGATACTTTGTGATTGGATAAAAATTGTTATTTTATCATAAAATKAAGTTTTGATATAAATGATTTTGGATTGATAAAAATTCCAATGACTACGGTCTATTCGGAATTATCTTATAAATGTTTTGATGAAGGTATAAGGGTGGCATATCAAGGAGAGGTGTCCATTTGTTATAAGGGTGGCATATCAAGGAGAGGTGTCCCGTGGGATAAGGGTGACATATCAAGGAGATGTGTCCATTGGATATAAGGGTGGCATTGTATGTGTGTGATTTTATATAACTCTTTCTATTATTTCCTTTAAGACTACTGAGATCTAGAATCTTTATTTCTTTGTRATTTAAGGATTTWGGMTCAAGGTTCTTATTTGGAAATCATAGATTGGATGTTATTGAGGAGAAAAGATCTGTTTTGGCCTGAAACTTTGTTAAACCTCGTAATTGAGAAAAAGGATTAAAAAGTGGCATTGTATGGAACCTGATTGGTTCAAAAGGTATGAGATTTGAATAAGCTAAGTGATAGCTTGAATTTGAGAAATGATTTGGTATTTTGGTATTATGGATTCATATATTTGTTATTTATATGAATACTTGATTTTGTAAAGGTTTTGGTGATCCTTCACCCTACAATGACATGATTAGGGTATCTCACTAGACTCTTCAGTCTAACCCTCGTTTTTGTGATTTTAAATATGTGTTGCAGGTCGAGTAGAAGGTAAAGGAAAGAAAAAGATTTAATGTTTTTTCTTACATGCATTTTGGTTGAAGATTTGCTTTTGATGCATAGCTCTGATGATTAGTACAAGATTGTATTTTGAATTTTTGGACCTTGTGTTTGGTCATAATAGATTCTTGTAAAAGTGGACCCGAATGTATATGAATATGTATTTCTTTGGTATGAAATATGTATTATATGCAATGTATGTGGGTTGGGGCGTTACATATATGAAAAAAATCTGGTAATTAATAATTATTATATATTATTTAATTTAATTAAATATAATCAAATATTAGATATCTTGTTTGACAAGTGTAAAATTTAAATGGACAATGTAACAACTCGTCCCATATGGATAGAAGGTGAAAATTGTTAGTTCTTTATAAGTCTCAAGTAGTGGGCTACCAATAACTTCCACCATGGTTTTAAGTTGGATTCGAAGTTATTGGGCTAGTTTGTTGCTTTGGGCTTTGGGGTGTTACAGACAAGTAGAGACTTGTCAATGAAATAAGTTTAAAAGGATGCAATGTGACTTCAGAACAGACAATTTGCTATTTAAGTACATTCGTGTTCAAGATCGTCCGGGGGCTTAGGGGTCGTTTACCCAAACGCTTACCCGTTAAGCGCTTACCGATAGGAGTCAACACTATAATCTATTTTACTATGTAAGATTGGGGTATATTAAAACGGTATCATATGCAACAATTTACCTGGTAAACGCTTATCTGTGTAAGAGTCATCACCATCACTTATCGGGTAAGACTCTCTATCCTTATCATTGCTCTTACCGGGTAAGATTTTCGACCCTTGCCATGTACTTCAGGTGAGGAAAATTACCCGATAAACACTTACCGACTAAGTGTTTAGTAAACGGCCCCTTTAATTAACATTCTTATCGAGTTATCTCTTAGTTTAATTTAATAATTATCTTGATTTATTTCCCTTAAACATAGTTTCTATTCAATTAATAATAGTTTTCTAGTTAGAGATAGCTCTTATAGGCTTATAATTATTGTGCTTGATAATGTTAAATTTCTAAGTTTAGATTTTAAAGTTAATGAAAGTGTGCTTAACGGGTTTATTCGAGTCTTTCCGATTCGTTTGTGAGTTCGGTCATTCAGTCATATCGATCCATCATCATCTAGTATCAGAGCTTCTATTGCAATGGTCGATCGCGACTTAGATGTAAAGACAACTGATAACGTCAATTCTCATGTTATTCGTGTGCCATTTTTCGAGTGATTTTTGCTGCGTTTTCTAAGTAAATCAGATAAAATTTAACAATTTAAGTTAATTTTTTGGACATCAATTGATGTTGAGAAGAAAGCAGAGGAAACCCGAGTTTTTCACGCCATTAATGAGGACTTTTGAGTGCAATGCAAATTGGGAACTGATCTGGAACACGAGGATGTAACGAGAGAAATACTTGAACTTTATCAAGAATACACCAAACTAGTGCATCAATACATAATACATATATATAACTTGCTATCTATTACGATTTTGTTAAGGAACGGTTACAGGGTTAGTGTTCAATTGGTCAACACTAATAGAACATTTTAAATGAAAGACAAATAGGTTAACATGGACAATGACTTATCGGTTACGACTTACATGTTGGGCTATAACCTGTTTTTAAGACGAAAAGGACATTCACCAAACAATAACTGGATTACTTATCTTATCAGTTGAACAGAACAATAACCGAAAATCTTAACCACCAAGTAAGGGTAGCGATTCTTACCTGGTTAAGATCATTATCGTCTCTTATATTATTTTGATGGTTAAGAATCTTATCCAATAAGTTAAGTAGTGACTCTAATTATATCGTAACTTTTTATGTTAAATATATTGGATTGTTTTAGCTGCAAAGGTTGTTAACAATGATATTCAGAATCAGATTATAAGTGGTGAAGAATCCATTGAGGATCATCATGAGCCACGAGAAGGATCATGTCCACTTTCATCATCTTAAAAGCACTCATTCCATTCCCTTTATAAAAGTGAATTGGCTTTGTGGGAATCTCACCCATTTTCTACGATATATAATATTAGCTCAGTTTTTTTTTTTACAAATAATAAAGAAAAATAGTAAAATGACCAAAACACCCCTGATTTAACAAAACTTAATTTAACGACATTAAGACATGAGACTAATCTGTGAAACCACGATGACCAAACATGTAATTATTTTGTTTAGGGATCCAATCCAAAATTTCATACAACCACATCGCGACGAAATTTGTAATTTACTCGTGATCATTTTTGTTAAGGATGCGAACGGCCAAGTATTGATATCCCTATATCCAAACCAATATCCAAAATCGTCCCATCCTCACCACGGATCTTAACAAAGCCCCCATCGGCCCCCAAGGTTTTCCCGATCGTTGTTGGGGAATCCCATCAAGGATTAGAAACAATCTGTTCCTCGTTCATCATCTCCAAACCCAAAAACAAAACCGACCTAAAAAATGCTACAATATTTTAATTTTCACAGCTAAAAGTAATTATAATTTTCTTGTGAACATACAAATCCAAAATGTCTCAAACATAAGCATACCAATATTATGAATTCATTCAACACTAGGCCGGGCCGGTGATGAGCATCCCTGCCCCCAATGAAATTCCCCAATTTGTACCCAATCCCTGACTTAAAAATTTTGGTTTTCAGTTTTCAATATCGGTTTTGGGTTTTTTTTTCTTTGCCATTTCTAATTCATGTTCCCCAAATAAATAAAAATCAAAACAAAGTTGATTCAATCTTAATCCCCACAAACTAAAAATCTTGAATATCTTCATCAAAATGAATGTTTGGAAAGTCGGTTTTTTTTATTAACCTGGATATCCAACACGCTATGCGAGCCGACTAATCCCAACGGAACCACCTGCTTTGCGGGTAGCCTGGAGTATGTTATTTAAAATAAAACGAAAACACTTTTGGTTTAAATTTGATGCAATTATTAATAGGATAAATCTAATACTGTAACTACCATCACATCAATCTATTTCATTATTTGTTAGTCCAAATACCAAATTTAAATTACACAATAAATCAAACAAAACGTTTACAGTTTATCCCACTTGGAAGCAAAGTACAAGGGTTGGGATGTATGATGACATATTCTCTATCTAAAATGATAGAACGGTGAAGACCTCGGCTTGCTCCATTAACGGATTGATCTTATCGACAACTAGGTTTAGGAAATGCATACCTTTTCCATCAAGAACTAGCCAAATCATGATTGATTGCCGGTTTTGTAGGAGAAATACAATATACCCGGGATCCCAAATGTTGTACTTGAAGACCAGCGGTTTCACATCCAGTAAAAAATAACGATTCGTCTTCTTTCCCGATTCTACGTCTCCAACTCATCAAGAAAGCCGGCCGGGGAAGTTCTGAATGGGTATCTAAAATTACAATGAATACCGTTATCTTATATTCAGCCCCGAGGGCTTAGCACAATTGGTTCTGGTGTTATACTGGTACTTGCACAAACAGACAAGGGTTCTTGACTTGCCTCTCAAATTGATACTTTTGAGGCAGGGCGGTTTGAGCCGACCCAAGGGTTGCCAAACCAATTACAAACCCTTTCTGCACTAAGTATATCCCTCCGTCCGTCCCTAAATAAGTGCCCATGTTTCTATTTATAAGATAAGTGTCATGTTTCAACAATAGATGACTAAAATTTCAAATCTACCTGCACAAATATTTAAGAGTTGTGCGGAGGGAGATATAAAATAAGGGTAAAGTTGTCATTTGGTTAACTTCCGGTGTAGACACTTATACTGGGAAGAATGGGAGTAATTGTTTTCACAACTTAAACGATTTACAACATAAACATTTACCGTGAGGCTGAGGTGCTACAACCGTTTCTCGTGGCTTGTAAGAGTTTAGAAGGAAGCAAAGAGTCTTTATTAAGTTTGCATATTGTTTAACATCTGAAACACCAAAAATAATCGGAAAACCGTCAAAAGATAGATAAGAGTTGAAAATGATCGTGTTCAATGATGACCACAATTTTCAACAAAGATAAACCCAAGTACAATGGTTTTTCCATACTTAAATTTCGACAAACCACATTTTATAAGATCGCCATCAGACCAGCTATGTTATATGGGTCGAACACCCACCCAGGTCCCATGAAAAACTGCAACAGGTTTTTCATCTGGACATCCCATAATACTTGCATGATTTCCTCTTATGACAACATCAAGATGAAGTTACATATTTGTTCATCGTCTCTTGACTAATATTTCGCTACACATGATTTCGAGTTATGTCATTCTCAAAAGTGTAGTGTAAAATTTCAGCAATCCATCAAACACTTGTACAAACTACATTATATTTATACTCGAAATGTAATGCACATTTTATAAGGTAGCCATAAGACCATGTCCAATGGGGTCACCAAATCTTAAACTGAACACTATTTGTTACACTATTTCATCTCCGATGGGCAATTACTGTGTAACACTATTCATTTACACTACTTTTTGCACCATTTTCACAATTACAATTTTGAGATCTATGATTTTGTGTATTTTTAATTTAAAAGTGTTAAAAGTTTTAATAGTTTTTATTTGGTATATATATTATAAATTACAAATTATGTTTATATTATTTATAACAGTATTCGTATTTCTATGCAACTTTTTATTGTTCAATGAAATGTTTGTTTTACATATTAAAATAATTTAACTCATAGTTAATAATAAAATTTATTAAGCTATTATTAAAATAAAAGAGTTCATTGAAAATTTAACAAATCAAAGATAAAAAGAAATATACCTACAATTTTATAATTTGGTGTGAAAAATTGCATTACCCATCAGAAAAGATCCACTATTTGCACCAAATTTTACACCATATCCTGAATTTGGTGTTACCCATTGGAGATGCACCTCCTATTAAAATAGTGAAAAAGAGGTGATGCTAGCTTTGACACTTTATAATCAAAATTATCTACCTTCAATCATATATATATATACATATATATCTAGTTAAGTTACAAGTGTTTATTTTGATATCATGCATTCTATGCAGAAGCTAAGATGAGGATGAAGCACTTACACAGTAAGATATCACTAGCAACAATGAGGTCCCATTCTGGATGAGGATTTGGGAAGGGATCACCCCATGAATCTGGTACACAAAGATACAAATTAACATATATAAGATAAATTGGCCCATTCAGTTCTATACTTCTAAACCGTTGGAAGAGTTGATTTTTTTATCTATGGCTAAAAAAATCACGGACATTCAACTACGTCATCAATCTTAATCTTCATTTTCACTCATCTTTAGGATCTTTTATACATACCTTCAACCACTTTCACACGCATAAATTTGTTATAGCTTCAGTCATGGTGACAGAAATATGTTAATGGAGGTAGATGAAGGTTTTGTTCTCATGTCCTACCAATAACTCCTATTCTAACACGATCCCAAGTCTTAACGCATCAAGACATCATAATGTAAAATATAATTTGTAAACCAAAATTTGAATTGTTATAAAGGTAAAAAACACATTACACACTAACGAAAACATGAGTAAAATGCATAGCAGAACAATAAGAAATAACAACGTATAAATGGAAAAAAGAACTAACGCTTGATATGTGGAAGCACAGGAGTTACTCCATTAGCCCTACAATTATGAGCTATGTTCTCTTCAATCTCCTCATCATCATAGTCTGAAGTCGTAATGTCTACATCATACAATTTCTTCAAAAAGATGGCCAATGCACCTGTTCCACTGTCATTCTTAAAAGATAATATCAACAACACAAATCTCAAATGAAAACTCGACTACTAGACCAAAAACTATAACAATGTGGAAAAATGTGATGTGAAGCAAAGGTTGAAACAGTAATATTGAGGTATAATGACTAGCTGGACTTGCCTGCCCAACTCAAGGATGTGCCGTCTTTCTATTCTTGACCTATCTTGAACTAACCATTCTACAAATGCAAATGTTCCTGGCCATAGTAGATTAGCATTCATCTGGTGAAACGAAAATTCTCGAATGAGCAATTCCTGCAATTAAACATATGTAAAAGGTATTACTGAGTATAGCCTCTTGGAAAGCCAAAGAATAAACGTCCTTCAATATGAATATGTCTATCACGATATTCTCCTAATTCTCCGGTCTGCATCCGTCCGCATATACAGAAAACAGACATCGAAAGACAAGTTCAAGAACTCTTGGCTCTCGGCATAATTCGCCTGAGTAAAAGTGCCTTCTCAAGCCCAGTTATTCTAGTTTGCAAAAAAATTAATCGTGGCAAATGTGTACTGATCACCGAGCAATTAACAAGGCTACCATTCCCGGTATGTTTCCAATTCAGGTGGTTGAGGAGCTCATTGATGAATAGAAGGGTGCACAATATTTTTCCAAATTGGATTTGAAGTCGGGTTATAATCAAATTCATATGCAACCCGATAGTATTGAAAAAACAACCTTTCACACTCATGACGGCCACTACGAGTATTTAGTTATGCCTTTTGGGCTTCCTAATGCTCCAGCTCCTTTTCAAGCGGTGATGAACGACATTTTTAGACCCCATTTACTTAAGTATGGTTGTTGTCTTCTTTGACAACATCTTAGTCTATAGTCCTACATGGCCTCAACATATGAAGGATTTGAGTGCGGCTCTAAACATTTTGGTCGAGAATCAGTTCGTGGTTAAACGGAACAAGTGTTCTTTTGCTAAGTCATCTGTTGATTATTTTGGTCATATTATTAATGGTCACAGTGTCTCCATGGATCCCAAAAAAATTAAAGTTGTTTTGGAGTGGCCAATTCCAAAACAAGTGAAGGGATTACCAGGTTTTTTGGGTTTTACAGGCTATTATCAAAAGTTCATACGACATTATGGTAGTACTGCCAAATCCTTGACTGATTTGACCAAAAAGGACGCTTTTGCATGGAGCTCAGAAGCCCAACAAGTCTTTGGCTCACTCAAAATTGCAATGACTACGGCACTGGTCTTACCGCTACCCGATTTTTTGATTACCTTCATAGTCGAATGTGATGATTCCGGCCGTGACGTTGGTGCTTTGTTGATGCAACAACAACGGCTCTATCCTATTTCAGTAAAGCTTTAAGTAAGCGAAACCTAGCGTAATCGGCTTACGAGAGGGAAATTATGGCACTGGTACTTCTTGTCCAACACTGGTGTTCTTATTTGTTGGGTAGTAGTTTTATCATGTACACAAATAAAAAAAGTCTGAAATTCTTGTTGCAATAACGGATTACAAACCTGAGACAACAGAATTGGATGGCCAAATCATTGGGCTATCAATTTGAAACTCACTACAAACCTGACCGTAAAAACAGGGCCGCAAATGCATTGTCGTGTCTAGCTGAGGATGGCAAGCTATCTTCCTCAGTATCCAGTCCAGTTCGGCTCCAAGGGGGCTCAACTCATTGAGGAAGCTCGAGCTAATCCGCACATACAACACATTATTAGAGAGTGGCAACAGACCCTACGACCCATCCAGGTTATAATGTTCGACACAACGTGTTATACTATAAAGATCGATTGGTTATTCCTCGTACTTCAAAATTCATCCCCACACTTTTAAAGGAGTTTCACACTTCTGACACCGGGGGACATTCTGGCTACTATCGAACTTATCGTCAGTCGGTTGGCCATTAATGTGTATTGGCCGGGTATGGTAGCTGTTGTGCAAAAGTTTGTCCAAGCTTGTCACATGTCAGTGTTTTAAGGCGAGTTCGACAACTCCGGGAGTCTTTTGCAGTCTCTGGTTATCCCTGATGTTGTTTGAGAGCATTTGTCGATGAACTTTATCTTGGGATTACCCAAGTCTAAGGGGTATGATGCATAATGTTATTAGTTGTGGTTGATCGTTATCAAAATATAGCCATTTCATTCTCATTAAACACCCGCATACGGCTAAATCCATAGCAAAACAATTCACTTGGGAGGTGGTGAGGCATCATGGAATTCCGAAATCCAGGTCCATTATTTCTTAGTCATTTTTGGCAAGAAATCTTTCGCCTACAGGATACACAACTACTTGAGTTCGGCTAATCATTCGGAATCAAATGAACAGGCGGAAGTCATTAACCGTTGTTTAGAAACTTACCTTCGTTGTTTTGCCATTAATCAACCTCGTTCGTGGTCCACTTGGGTCCCATGGGCTGAGTTCCGGTATAATTCGACATTTCATGGCACTACGCCATTTGAAGTTGTTTATGGCCGCAAACCTCCTACTGTGTTTCAATACATTTCGAGTGAGATGAGAGTTGAAGCGGTGGGTGAAGAATTACGAGAACATGGCGAGGCATTAAAGCAGCTCAAGACTCACTTGTTGCAAGCACAGTCGTTGATGAAAGAGCAAGCACATAAGAAACAACGAGACGTGAATTTTCAGGTAGGGGAATGGGTTTATCAGACTTAAACCTTATCGCCAAATGTCAGTCGCCCAGAGAATTCATCAGAAATTGGTTGCTCGATTTTTCGGACCCTTCAAGGTATTGGAAAGGATTGGCCATCTAACATTATCATTCCTTATTAAACCCATTCCCATTTTCATTCACTTCAAACGAATCAAGCACAACCATAGCTCATTCTCAAGTCCAGTGGAATTAAAAATTAATAACCAATTTCTACTCAAACAGTTCTATTCAAAAAATTATTCAAAAGAGCTATATATGCATACGCATGAAATTCCCAAATCCGCATAATAAAAAGACGTTAATCGAACACTTTCAAACACAGATTTCATGTTTCGAAACTCACCATTCCAGGAAATTGGTGACTTCTCTCCACATAGGTCTCACAGTTCTCTACTACTTCCTCATCTGCAAGCAGCAACAATCAGGATTAACCATTGCATTTGTATTTGTGTGTTTGAGATGCAGATATCACCTGTAGATGAAGCATCATCCTCATGAAAAAGCGAAGATGGAGAAAACAGAGCAATATCCATGGTGATTGAAAGCGCTGAAACTCAAAATATGGGTGCCCTAATGTTTCTTCGAACCCGTTATTAATAGAGAAAAAAGAACCAAGACCGCATGAAGATGCACAGGGTGTTCGCGGTGAGGTCTAAGCGATTTGTCCCTATGCTGTTTACGATCTCAATTTCAATACATCCCATTACTAAATACATATTGTATAATTAAAAATAACATAAAATTATTAAATTAATTTATTAATATTACTAATTGGATCAAACTTAAAGTATAAAAATATTATATATACATGAAAAATGCGGTACAATACAATTTGAACCGCAGTTTAATAACTTAAAATCATAAACCACACAACATAATGTAGTTTAGTAAAAATACAAACCGCATTTTACGTTGCAGTATGGGCAATTTGATGGTTTTGACTTTTAATAAACCCCTCTTCGGGAGTTTAGGTTTGTTAGGGGTTTTTTTTTTCTTATTTCGAGCTTGGGATTAATGGGATCGGGTTTTTATAAGCTGGATTTGAAGTGTTATTTTCTAGTGAACTACAAGTTTGGTCCTTGTGGTTTGTCAAAAATAACATTTTTTGTCCTTGTAGTTTCAAAATTACAAGATAATCATTGTGGTTTACAAAAACGTCTGGATCTGTTTCCTCCCTTAATTTGTTGTTAGATAAGGGACATGTTCATTTTTTTATTGATTTTTTTTTTTGTTTATTACACAATCAAAATCAATTTTATAATTTTGATAATTGTGATTTCTGATTGAGTAAAAGATAAAAAGAAATCGATAAGATAAAAAATTCTCTTCACTTAATATAATTTTAACGGTCGTAAGAGGGAGAGAAATTTGAATGCCCTTACAAACTATGATGTCATCTTAAAAATTCAAAATTGTAATGGTAAAAATTGTTATTTTTGACAAACCACAGGGATTAAATTTGTAGTTTACTCTTTTTTTTTTGCATCTCAATTTCAAACTAGAGTGAATTGCAACTTTAGTTCTAGTGGTTTGCTCTAAATTCAAAGCAAACCACAAGGACCAACAATGTAACTTACATTTTTAATCTATACTATATTATAAAAAGTATTTGATAAAAATTCTTAAAAATTATTTTTTATGCATGAAGTATTGTACATTGATGCATAGTACTTAAAATTTCAGACTACAAGTAAATTATGCACAAGTACAACTTATTAAAGCTCCATGTTTGAATTCGTGTAACTAGCTGCGGATAAACATAATCAAATAGAGGATAAACATCTCATTTTAAAATATAAAAAATCTAAAATATAA